GTCGAAAAGCTATATTCAACTAATGCTACACTGATGTAGACGCACACGTCCCTAAAGTCTTGGTAGCTTTATTACAATATTCTTATTTGATTACAATTTTAATGTTATAAAAAAAACTTAACGAGCATATTTAAGAAATATTTTAGATTTAATATTACTTTTTTAAACACCAAATAATGTTACTATAACGTAACAATTATAATATTTTAAATTTAATCAAGTACTAAAATTATAATAATATTGATGTTAGGAAATTGCTGTATGGGAAGTGCTATGATTCTAAAATTGTTGGTTATTTTGTTATTTGTATCATTATTCATTTCCGTCAGACATCTGTGGTCGCTATTTTAGTTATACGAGACTCGTAAATTTTAAGGTTGTGTTGTCCATATTTAATTTGAGTATTATTATCTTTGATATTTTTGTTATATACAATCTACAAAATGAGTGACAACACAAGTGTAAAACGTAAAAGAAATTGATTTAAAGTCGTGTGCTTAAAATGTGGCAGTATATTTCAACAACGATTTTAAAAAACAACACGAAGAAAAAGTACACAATGGAAAGTCGATCAATATAAAGCTTGTTAGTGCTCCCGAAAATCCTTTTCAAAGTGCAGATAAGACTTCAAAAATCGTAGAAAAGCGAGATTTGATATCTATGTGCTTATTTTAATTTAATATTAAGTTCATGAATAGTTGTGTTTGTAGTTTGTTATTAAAATATGATAAAATGTTATACCTACTACAATATCACTATGTCTGTAAATTGGAATCATGTTATTACAATGTTACTATTTATTTATTAAATTAACATTATTTCTAGTAGTTATGCAGGTTCAACAAAAAGGTTCATTCGTAATTGTTTATTATGTTATACACTTTTATGGAACAGTAATTTTATAAATAAAATAGCACATCAATGGTAAATTTTAAAAAACCGACGTATACAAATTTAGTGTTAATTTTATTATAAATACAATATTTATTATAAGATTTTTCGTTGATTTAAAAGTATTTGAATATTATATTATATTATTAAATTATAATAGTATAATAAATATGTAACAGTATTATAAATTTTGTTATTGAAAATATTTTATTCTAATATACTAGTCAAGATGTGATGAAATATATATACGTAGAAGCGAAGTGCAATGGAGAACATAATTAAATAATTAATATTTTGGAATATTGTGTAAAGTATGTCTACTGATTATTATGCATGTAGGTAGGAGATAGTTGTCAAACAAAGCAAGAACATTTTTTGAGTTGGGGCCATTAATGCTTCTCACCCAACCCCCCCTACCCCTAATTATTTCGTTCGAGAAGCCCCTGGGTGTCATCAAGTGTACCATCCACAATAAATGACATAATTATTAAAAATGTTGATTATATAATAGGTGTATTATATTTAATTATTTAAATACTTTTTTTATTAAATGTATGTGTTTGGACAATGAACATAATAGATATATATAATAAATTATAAATATTATTGAATGAATGTTATTCATCATTCTGGGTAATATTCAAAAGTACCTACAATTGATATTAATTTCATTGTTTATATTTTCATTTGAGATACTATGATCTCAGATCTGTAACAATAACATTTGGAATTGGTTCATCATCACTTTCAACGATAGCAAATATCCCGTTATTTTATTACACTTAAAAGCGGATGATATTAAAATATCATCCTTTTTCGTTTTTCTTTTCCGAGCACCGCTTTTACCGCACATACTTTTTACAGCCACTCATATTCGATTTTGATATCACAAATTCGCAACATTATTAACATACTTCAAATATTCATACTTATAAGTTGTATTTGTAAAACAAAACACAAAAACTAGTTAACAACGTTATCATGACTTCAACTTAAGATTGTTCAAGATTTGTATTGTTTTCATAGAAAAACAACGGAAATATAATTTGTTTGGTTGATGAGTAATACTTAATTATACAGGTATACCTATATTATATTTTATCATCAAAAAAAGTTGTATAGTGATTATCTATATTCTATAATAGGTACCCAGTAATAATGTTGAAACCGTCATAAATTTGTAATCGACGGTATTCACACTACTCGGATAATCGTATAAATCCCATTTCCTTACCATTATCATCCTACTAAAAAGAGACGATATTGTCGATATTACGATAGCAGAAAAATAATATCATATTATCCAACATCAATGTAGTTAGCTTATAGGAAAACGTTAATGTATTTATATTTTTATCCAAATATTTCTTATTTAATAAAAAAAAAAATCGTTCTATCTACCACTATTGTTTAATATCTATCCGTTGTGGGGCCGAGGCCATGCCCCCCCCCACATTTATAGCACATGTATGTACCTATATCACATATATTTTATTATAAAATTATGTAGTTAAAAAACATCAGTCTTAGATATACGTATAATATACGTAATTTATACAAAAATTGCATGCAACATACATACAACTAGATATACAAATAATATTGTCAGTGCATCGTTACATAAAATCAAATCCCAAAGTTATACTAGCCATTTTAGCAAAAAAGAAAAAGAAAAGAAAGACGGACTTTATATTATGAGTATTAATAATTTAATTTAATTGTTTACTTTATTGTCTTTGAAATCCATTATCAAACCATTTACCTAATTTAATTTATAATAATAAAAAAGCGGATAAGCGAGTACGCTCTGCTGTACATTAGGTGCCTAGAGACTTGAGAGTCACTACTCACTGTAATGAATGTGTTAAATTTAAATTCAATTATCATTGTATACGTAAAACGATTCTGGTCTGTATAGACAAGAGTAGGTCAAATTCATTTTTGCCAAAAAAATTGCAATTGAAAATGTCATTGTGTGTCTGGAATATAGTAATGTATTCTTAATGTTTAACAAAATTTTTTATTGTTTGTGGTTATATGAAATGTCATCCAAATGTGAACTTAAAATGTTTGTAAAAAATAACCGTGTTTTTATATTTTTTAGATTTGCACAGTATGAACTATTTATGAGAATAGTTATACATATTTCAAGATTTTGTTGAATGTTGTCAATATTTTAACTTCCTACGAGTATAAGCAATTATTGTGCATTAACGATTTACTTTTTTGTTAAATTTCCACTAACAACAACTTATGACGAACGTTGTATTACATTTTCAAGTTTTTTGACAGAGCAAAAAATGTTGTACATATCGATAAAAATTTTAAAAAACTAATACAACTCGAAATTTTCTTATGCCTTTAAATAGGTTAAAAAGATTCGTAATATTTGAAAAATGTTATGAAGAAGAAATTGCTAGTATAAGTATTCAGTGAAAATGTCATCTAGATCAAACAATTCATCGCTTCGATCTGAAACTAAAAATGGTGGATACCTCTCAGCTGTAGATTAGATGTAGTGTGGTTCACTGTAATGGAATGAGTTATATCTGAATTCAATGATATAACATAACTGTATACGAAAAACGAGAGAAGACAATCTTTCATTCAGCATGCATCATGAAAATATTTTTAAATTTCAACATAACAAAAATTGTTATTCTCAGTTTAAAGATCTAATTCAGATCAAATCTGCGACAGATTGAGAATAGCAATAAAAATTAACTTGGTTTATAATTTTTAGATATATTGTAAGCTACAATTTGGACGAAATTAGATATTTCATCGGGGAACATCCTTTTTATAGTTTATATTTTAATTTGTTTAGATGATCTTATACCAAGACCGTAGCCAGAAAAATATTTAGGGGGGGGGGGAGAGTATAAATATGTTATATTATATAATAAAATATGAACCGTAGCCAGAAAAATATTTTAGGAGGGAGGGTTAAACTATAAATATGTTATATTATATAGTAAAATATGAAAATATAAAAATATTATTTAAATTAAATTAATCTTTATTTAAAAAATAATAAAATCTTATTTTAAAAAAAATTTTTGGGGGGGGGGGTTTAAACCTGAACCCTCTCCTGGCTACGGCCTTGTCTTATACCCTTAAATTGTTTGTATTTTAATGCTCGAAGTGCATGTTAAAAAATTATTCTCATCCTTCCATCCCCAAAGACAAAATGATTTGACCACCACTGGATTAAGTTATGATTTCTAAAGGCTTAGGTGTTTGGTTAAACATGTCTGTAAATGAAACTGAAATATCATTATTTAACACTGCAAGGTGTTGGCAATACAACATATTTTGGTATCTTTTTAATATTTTATATTTTTTATGGTACACCTATATAATGCTCCATTGTGAAAATGTACGTTTTTATATGTGTTTCTAAACGCTGTTATCAAATTCAGTACCACACTGTAGTAGTTATACTATTTTAGTCACAGTACGCGTACCTACGACTCTCTTCCTCATTATACGATGGTAAAAACTTCACTGCAGTTCCCGCCTAACCAGCAATGCGCAATCATTCGATCAGAGCTGTCAAACACTGAGAATAAAACCCTGTTCACACGTCGTATGAAAGTTTTTTTTTCTTCACATGTTCACTGACGGTGAGGTCCGTCACTTGCGCATTTTCAATCATCGTCGCCGCCGATAAAGAATACGCACCTATCACGCTTACCCGACCAGTAGACCTACTCAACGGCGAGCTTCCCCCCCACCACATGATACGACACCGACATCTCACGCACCGTCACACAGCCTCACAGGAGATAAGACGGCACAAGACGGATCGGAATATTTAGCGTTGCACGGCGCCCGCGACGCACCGGGTCCGACGGCGCCACGGTCCGCGCCCCGTACTCGTAACCCGCTCGTAAGTTGCCGAATAGCACGCATAAGGGTTGGTATGGTAGGGGTTTGATGTGGGGGAGGTGTGCATGATGTGACGGAGGGAGGTGTTATGGTATCGCGGTGACAAGGGTAGAGTGGGGGATGCATGCATACGTTTTGCGAGGGTGCGCGCGCGCGCGCGCGCTCACGATTACAGCGTCTCGCCGGGTTGCCGAGGTTTTTTTCCGCGCTCAGTACATGCATGCACGCCAGCAGTAGTGCCGACTGTACGCCGTCTCGCGGTTGACCAGCCACGGGCGACGTCGTTGTTGTCGTCGTCGTTGTCGTCGTCGTCGTCGTCGTCGTCGTCGTTGTCCACCGTCACCTCTGTCGCCGCTGCGAGATAGTTGCAGGACCCCAACTGTGGCACGCTCATACCTATTATTTCGGTAATAATGCTTCGTATAACACATGTATTATTATTATTATTATTATTATTTTTTTTTTTTTTTATATATATCGATCATCGTCGTGCAACAAACTGTACGGCAGATTAAAAACTACAATGTGTACCTATCATTGACATTTTTGTAACTCTAATAAATGTAATGAGTTTGTCTTTTTTCCAAATCCTACTCTTTTTGAACTTATCCTGAAGAATACGTGAATTCATTCGCGTAGTCTGTTTACAAGTTATGATGCCTGTTGCCTATACTCGAACTCACTGACATTTATTGTTATACTTAATTTCACACCCCGTTGACTCAAGTCGCAGTGATTTGTTTTAATTCGATCTTGATTAGAATCGGCCATTATATGAAATACAAATATTGCCAGCCACTATAGGTACTGCGAAAAATACAGACAATAGAAATTATTAATCACGGACGAAAATCTAATTGTTGTATACTCTATGTCTATCCAATTTTAACGCTTCAATGGTGTGATTTAAATTTATAACACGGTGTAGTGTATCACTACAATACAACACGAACAAGAATCATTTAAATACTTTACCTAGACAGGTTGAAAATCGTATAGGTTATTATGAAAATTAAAAACTTATATTAATATCGTACGATAAGGTAGTGATTACCAAATCGTAAAATAAAACTGAGAATAGTTTTAAAATGTTAAATATTTATTAGAACAACCATTTACAAACACAAACAATTTTAATCAAAACAAATATCTTAATAAATGAAAATATAACTCGATATTTTAATATTGTTTACAAAATATCCAGTCCAAATTAGAAGTTTTCTTATAAATTATTTTTGAATAGCTTCGTGGAAATAAACCTAGGTACTATTTTAGCATAATATATGTAGTAGATATGTAATTTTGTATGCAACTACTGTCTACTATACAGTATTGTATTAATATTTTAGCATTTTAAATGTAGACGTGTCAAAATATTCAAAACATCCTATTTCTGATCAATTATTTATTCAATTTATTTGTCTAGAAACATTTTTGGAGTTAGCTAGGTATATAAAAAAAACTAAATTAACATAAATCATTGCAAAATGAACCATCAACTTTCCGGCTTTGTTTTAATTTACATATTTTATGTCCTTTTTTGTTCTCTATATGAAAGTATAGATATATTTATATATATATACATTATATAGGTAGAGGTACTTAATTTGAAAATATAATATTAAATTACATAATACACAAAAAAAATCATTAAATCACGATAAGTAATATTTTTGAAACTGTATCTTTTTTAAACTTAAGTGAACTAGTATTAAAAAAAGCTACAACATAATTACTTTAGGTACATATTTGTGTTAAAACTATTGCGCTTTTACTTTATCAAAATAAATCACACATTAGGTAGGTAGGTATTACTAACCAGTAACCACATCTAAAATTTACTTGTGTCAAACTTGCTTTGGTATGCAGTTAAACATTTGTTTAATTATAACTTATAAGACGCGAACACTGTAATTAAATCTAATATTTTAGTCATTTATAATACAGCTTAGTTTGATAATACGATATTATAAATTGTAGTTCGTATATAATCGACTAATACCGATTGGTAAATAGTTAAAATTATATTTGATATTTTATATTTCAAAATAATCAACTATCTACGAAATATGGACATTTTTTAACAAATTAAAATTTAATTCAAAATACAAATGTTATGTTATTATTTTGAGGTTTTTGCATTATCAATGTTTGTGGTAATGTGGTTAATTTGTTTTCGAAAAAACTGAAAACTTGTTTATCTGTGTCGTCACCCGTCACTATCATCTTTTTTTTTTATAGACAGTTTCGAAATTATCCTAGCAACCGTACCATAAAAACTTTTATATTTTTGCTAGGCAATTATAAATATAAATATATCAAATAATTAGTAATTTACAAAATGAATAAAAACTATATTTATACATCATAATAAAATCTGACAAGATATGTTGTAATTTAGTTATATTATTTTATTGTGAATGTTCCTAGTTGCCTCGACTTTTTTGATATGATATATGTACAACTTTGTCAATACAATATGATTTACTTAGTATAATTCAAAATAATATAGATTGATAATATCAATTTATAATCAAATCACATTCTTTTGAACATGAATTCCATTTTATTTTATTTCAAATAATATTCAATAGATAAAGCTTGAATGCTTGATATGTGATTCATAGACTTCATAATAAGAATGAGGTAGACATTTGTGTATTAAACATATTTTTTGGACGATGATTTCAAGAATAATTGTATTTACATATTATCTACATAAAGAATAGAGCAATTTAAAATATTGATACTTCCTAGAAAATTACTTGATACAAAATCTAACGCAAGCTTCAGTTGTGTAGCTGAGATTCAATACGATGTATTAAAAAAAACAATATATACCTATATATTCTTATATGATATGCAGGACATGTAGGTAGGTACTTATAAAATATAAATATATCAAAGTTAAAAATATATTAGCTTACGATTGAGAATTTTTTTTATTATTATTACATTACAATATATTTAATTTCAATTACGTAGGTTATATTAGGTACTTTACCTACCTATACTTGTAATTATTACTATTTATAAACTTTCCTCTCAACAATTTATTGATACTTTTTGAGGATAACATACTAACATATAACATACCCATTCAAAATCCAGTTAAATTATTACTTTAAGAGAAGTTCTTCCAAGTAATATTTTCAATTTTGATGTACTTAACTGTTTTTCTTCATATTGATATTTATGACACATAGTATGGATTTGTTCGAAAATATATTTATGTGGACTTTATACGAGTTTCGTACATTATGTTTAAGCTTCTGACACAAAAAACAGAGATCGACTAAAAACTGTTAATGAACATAATATTATAATTTATCACTCAATAGTCAATACTTGTTAGTCAAGAATTTACAAAAAAAATCTCGCAGGAACTTATACGGAGATATACTAGACAAATAGAGGAAATTTTAGTAGTTTTGCAAGTGTTTTTTACCACTTACGCATAGATTACCTATGCAAAGATATTAAGATATTAAGGCGTTTCATGTCTTGGAATATTTATCAAATAATTAATGCATTTAATTCAAGCTCTAGTTTTGAAAAATAATCTGATGAAATAAAGAAGGAAAATCTCTTAATATTCTCTAAACTATTTTACAGATAATATTATTTTAATTAACAAGATGTTATAAGTGTGCTAGATGGACATAATTTTAAATATAAATTCTGTGTCCATACAGAAAAGACAATTTCGCCTCTAAATAAAGAGAAAATTACTAAAACAGGTATGTTTATTTATACAAAACAACCCGAATAATTTTGCCCGGAAAGTCAATATAGCAAGTTCACTTGAATGATTATTATTTATGAATTATCACTTTGTCTGAGTCCCACACAGTTTTAATTATCCACCACCAACCAATTTATATAACTATCCAATACTATTATACAAATATGAACATAAATAAAATTATAAATATGTTAAAGAATGATAATTGTATTGTTTAATGGAATTATTGGAATGACTAAGTTATACTATTGTCTTGTAAAATAACATGGCAGTTTATAAAACGTAGTATAGTATATATTATGCAATAAGCGTACGTAGATAATATACATATAATGTGCATTAATGTTTAATAGATACAACAATTCAAATGCAATAGTTGTATATACTATAACTCAAATGTGGAATAAAAAGGAAAAAAATATATTACACTATAATTCTATACCCAGTATATTATAATACGTTTTCATTTCATTTGTAAAACTTGAAAGTTATAAATAAATATTTAAACATTATTTATATGTATTCTTTAAATTTTATATAAGATTCTAAGCGGATCAAGGAGCGATGAATGTAATATATTTACAATGTTGTGTGGTTTTTTTTGTCATCAACATTTGGGGTCGTAAAAATGCTCCAATTTTTTATATCAGCATCTTTTCTTCACCTTCTAAGTTTTATTAATAATAATAATTGAATATAAGCATAGGAACAGATATAGTGCATTACAAAATATAGATGTATCTAATATATAAAATACGTAATTTATCTATATATTTATTAATTGAATAAAGTTTATTTGTTTTTTGTTTGTAAATTCAACTGCAGGTATGGTTTTTTACCCGTAAGAATATGTTAAGTCCATACGTACTAATTTTTGATCTACAATAATAGACACTGTCATATATGTTTTTACTAATATAAATTTTGTGTAAAAATTCATTTAAATTAAATAGGCACTTTATTTTTTAAGGTGAATTTACATGCGCGCTCATTGCAGCAACATTTTTTCTAGTTCAATGGAAGGAGTAAATATCGGTAAAAAAAATTTAATCATAATCTTTCAACATGTTAAAATGGTTTATTTATGCTACAGATCTAATACTATGGTATGAGACAAAATACAACTACTTAGAATATAGCTAATTCCTAAAGTACCAACTTACTTTATAAATTTAATCTTCATTCTTAAAAATAAAATAACTCTAAAAATAACATAGACATGTAGTATTGTAGTTAAGCATAATAAATCTGTTACAGTGATATACCAGTTAGTAAACAATTATGTACGATTAAAATACACGAGTATGTGTTAAAGGATTTATTTACTTTCGTCATTTATAACTTTCGGCATACTATAGGTAGGTATATTCCACATGAATAACACGTTTATATCTACATACCTAATTATTAAATACACGTTTAAAACATGATTTAATTAAAACTCTGAGATGCTCAAACGCCTTGTTAGGTAAATTAATTTAAAACGAAAATACTAATTTATTAAATAACCTCAAAGCTTAATTTTGATGAACAAGTTTATAAATGATTAGTCTCGAGCATTTTATTGATTTACTTTAATATAAAATTGTGGTAAAATTACTAAAAAGGAATAGACGATATTTAAAAATAATGTAATAACATTATTGAATGGTAGAATTTAAG